GGGGACGTTTATCCGTTACTGAATTAGGTTTCCAGCTGCAGGAAGCCATCAAACGTTTCTGAAGGTGAATTTATTTTCCCTCCTTCACCTGCAGGTTCTCCTGGACTGGGATGGGGTCCACGGCGGTCCACGGCGTCCAACAGCCTGCCAGGCTCACGCTGTCATCTCTGCTCCTCGCCACCGCCCTGCTGGTGGCGGTTTGTGCCGAGGGGTCGGACTACTACCAGCTGCTGGGGGTGAGCAGGGAAGCTACAACCAGAGAGATCCGACAGGCTTTTAAGAAGCTGGCGCTCACCATGCACCCCGACAAGAACCCTGTGAGTCCCTGAGAGGAGACGGCTGAAAGCTGAACCAATCACAGTCCGTCTCCAGGTATTAACGCTGCTGATTGGCTGCCTAGGGCGACGCCTCGGCTCACGACAAGTTCCTGAAGGTGAACCGGGCTTATGAGGTGCTGAAAGATGAAGACCTGAGGAAGAAGTATGACAAGTACGGAGAAAAGGGATTGGACGAGCAGCAGGGAGGGCGCTACGAGAGCTGGAACTACTACCGCTACGACTTTGGTAAGGCCCCGCCCACCGCTGCGTGATGCTCTGATCCGCCACGGCGTCCCAGCTGATGGGTCAGGACGTCTGTTTCAGGCATCTATGATGACGACCTGGAGATCATCACTCTGGACAGCGGCGACTTTGGTGAGTTTTAGTTGGTAACCATGGAAACCACGAGGAACAAGGGTGGGTGAGCGGACGGCCATGTGCTTCTGTGTTTGTTTTCTAGAAGCAGCAGTGAACTCTGGAGAAATCTGGTTTGTCAACTTCTATTCCCCTCGATGCTCGCACTGCCACCAGCTGGCCCCCACGGTGAGCAGGCCTCGCACACCCGTCACTATTCACTCACTATGGCTGCATGGAAGCTTAGGGTTACAATTATTAGACTGTTTCTTTAAACGATCCGGATGAACTATTGCATCGACCACCCCCCCCCCGAGGCGCTGCGTTCCAGTTACATCTGAGTCGCACTGGTCTTCTCACTCCAGCCCTGTAGGGGGCGATATACGCTGAGTAGCATGCTAGCTGGAAGTCTCACCACAAACGATGCGCTGAAGGCTTTCCCAGCCGAATCAAAGGGAATTTAAAAATAAAATCAGTTTCTTTTATGTTGCCATGGTGATTTTTGGCCAAAGGGCGGAGCCATCCTGAACCATCAGCTGACTCAGTGGGGAGGAAAGCTTTAAGAGGCTGACCCTGAACGGGTCTGTTACACTCAGAGTGATTGGGTGCTGTCAGGTGGAGCTCCCAGCATCCCGGGGGGGGGAGCCCAGGGGGGGAGCCAGGCCTCCCTGGGTTGAAGGCTTCAGCTGGATCCGTTCAGAGGAAGATATCTGAGGCTTCCAGACCAACAGTGACGGTTTTACTGTTTCCTGTTTGTGACGCAGTGGAGGGAGTTTGCCAAGGAGATGGACGGAGTTATCCGGATCGGAGCGGTGAACTGTGGAGACAACAACCATCTGTGCAGGAGGAAAGGCATCAACAGCTACCCCAGCCTCTACGTCTACAGAGCAGGACAGGTTGGTGCTCCTCAGCGACCAACAGCAGCTGTTTATTCTAAAGCTGGTCACCGCTGCTCCATGGCCGCCATTTTACAAGCCTTAGACGATGAAGAGCAGAACGTGATGAGTGGAGATGGAAAGAAACCTTCTATTCTCTGTACCTGTTCTGCTGCAGCGGGTTAGAAACAGGAGCAGAGTTGCTTTTCTCTCTGCAGCCGTAATCCTCCCTCCTGTTTCTGCAGAGGCCAGAGAAGTTCACCGGGGAGAGGAATAAAGATGACCTGCTTCGCTTCTCCATGCAGTTCATCACCACTACAGTCACCGAGCTGTGGCAGGGTGAGCCCTTCCAGCTTTCTACCCATAATGCACCCTGCCTGGAGCAGGGGCTCCATCTTCTGTTCAGTGTAGCTGCAGGTGTGGCTCTCAGAGCTTCTGCTGATGTTTGAGTCAAAGTGAACAGAGAGCAGCCGCCATATTGCTGGGAGCAGAGCACTGATTAGATCCCTGAACCACGTTCACCTTTACTCCATTATTCCTGAAATGAACGCGTTCCCAGAGGCACTGCGGTGGAGAGCTGAGATGCGTTCAGCCTTCCTGTTATCTGCTGAATGGGCTGTTCTCTCCAAACTTAATCAATCTAATGCTACGTTCACAGCTAAAGCAGCAGAGGCAGCTGGTTTCCATGCTAGGTCAATGGTTGACGCGCATCAAGGCGCAGCTAAAGGTCCAGGAGCAGCGGCGCCTCAGGAGCTTCTGAGCAACTGAGGCGCTTCACCATCAGCAGCAGCTGGAGCTGGAAATGTGTAACTTCAGCTGCTGGACGCGCCGCATCAACCAATGAGAGAAGCTGATCTGGGAGCTGGCAGG